CCATTCAGTATTCCAACACAATTTCCAACATTGATTGAATGGTTTGCAGTGTTTGTTTTAATTGAACCACTTGATGGATCACTTTCATATCTTGATTCAGCATATCACCAACTGCACAATGATGGATGTGATTGTAGTCAAACACAATATCTTGCAAGACATTAACGTATTGGTTAGTTTTAGTATATTATTGATAAAATGCAATGATGATTTGTAATGACGTGTTGAATCCTTCAATCAAACATTGTCTGTTGTGATTTCCAACATTGACAGTGACATGGCAAACACATTTTGCTTGTGACAGATTTTGAACAAGTGTATTGCTCCGTTTGCTGTACAATACACGACATGGTCAGTTGGTGATATCATGCAACTGACAAGTGATTGCAAGTCCAACTGATAGTTACAATCAACACTGGTTGTTATCATGTCATTGATGTATATGAAACAAACCATGCCAATGTATCAATCAACAATCCATTAACTGTTGATGTAATACTCAACACAATACACAATCAATAATATGGTTGTTGACCCATTCACAATACTCGACAAACATCAATATCAGAAAGTTTAAATTTATTCAAAATTGAATTCATTGACAAACCATCAATCCGAACCCGGTTCTTCAAATTCTAAACCATGCTTTTCCATAAACACTTTCAGACCATGTCTGATAGCGTATACTCTTCTGCTTGCCTTTTCATACTCTTGCTTCAATTGATTTTCAGTGTCTGGATTGTGCCTTGGTTCAGATATTTCTTCTCCTCTTGCTAACGCTAGCTGCTGACTGAATTTGAGGTCTGCATGTTTACAATATTCTTCGCGTTTTTCTTTTGCAATCTTTTTAGACTCTACAAGCCTCTTCTTTATACGATTAAAGCTTCTCTGATATCTTGGGCCTAATACAGCTATTTGATTTGTAACAGTATTGGCAGACTCGCCTTGTCCCATTGGTTGTTGTTGGTCTTGTCTGGAAGTACTTGGAATGGGTTGATCAATCGGTTGTTTTCGATCTCGTTTTGGAGCACTTGGACTGGGTTCATTAGTTGAGCCAGACGCTTGGCTAAAAATGCTTGGCCTGATTTCATTGATTGGCCGCTTCCGACTTCGTTTGGAAGTACTTGGACCAGCTACATCTGTTGGTTGTTGCTGACTTTGTTTGGAAGCGTTTGGATCAACTTCATCCATTGGTCGTTGCTGGTTTTGTCTGGAAATCAGTAAATCAATCACATCCATTATGCGCTTTCGACCTTGTTTTAAAGTACTTGGACCAGTTACAGTTGCAGTTGGTCGTTGACCTTGAGTGGGAGTATTTGGATTAGGTTGATCCATTGGTTGTTGCCGGATCCGGTCGGAAAGGCTTAAATCCACTGGTTCTTGCTGATATTCATTGGAAGTGCCTGGACTGGGCTCATTGGTTGGACCAGACATTTGGCTTGAAGTGCCTGATGCTTGGGGTGAATCATCGTTATTAGCCGGTATCAGTATTGCATTGGCAGTTGCTGCCGCAGTCAGTAAGAGTAAAATATCAACCAATTTCATCAGATTAGTCAATGTGTTCAAACTATTAATACAAAAGTAGAGTGTTGAGACTGGTGTTGATTAAAAAACTGTACACACTCGATTGTATTTATATGTTTTTGTATAGCAAACCAACCCTAACCCTTTTAGATTAACCAACAACACAGGGTTACTTGATTGCTTGTAGTGAGCAACTATCAAATTAGACAGTATGCTGCTCCCTATTCACAATATCATATTGATCAATTTGATGATCGTGTCGATTAAATTATGCTTTTACGACCCTTTTATCAGGTATATTGAAAAGCACCCTTCAAGAGTGTTGTGTAACCGCAAACGCTTTGATTTACAGCCATATTCATCCTGCAATGACTTTGTTCTGCATTGTAACATACAATGGTTACTACACATTGACTGTATTGCGTGTTTGATATACAACAACGATCATATGTCACACAATCAGACTATAATGTTGAATCTACACTCTGTGCACTCTTAGTAATCATGCATTGTACGATCACCAAGTTTGAACCCATATTCATGTGTTGTGTTTGACTGTCAATGTTGTCAATACAACTATGTACACATTTATTGTATTCTGAATCACAGATACGATCGCAATCTAGTTCAACAACAATCATGACACATGTCAGTAATGCAACTGTTTATTACACACCAACACTGTTATTTGGTGGTCCATTTACATCAATATGGCTGCAAGTTGTTGTTATATCACGTATTCTGAGCATGGTTTTGATATTACACATCCAGTTCCATCACATTGTTGCTGACCCATCATTGTAATGCTGTATGTCACCACTAATCATAGACATGGACATGAGCATGTGGTTTCAC